TCATTATCTTACATAAAAATAATTAGACATATATTAATTTTTTTGACTATTGATCAGAATCTAATTGTTAGAGTTTTTAAGATCTATCGCATTGGAAAACTTGTCCTATAAGCTTTTCAATTAGATATTTCGATCGAGAATTGTATATCTTGAACATCAAAATAATGTGGTGAATTTTTATATACAAATGTGTCGCTTACTTTCTTCGCATTACTGATCAATTAATTGTTAGAAAATCGGTAAATCATACCTTCTTTTTTTCTCCTCGTAGACTTCGAAAGCCTAATTCATTTTAAAGTTCAATTCAAAAGCTATAGTTAATTGAGTTAAACTTTTTTCGCATCTTGCTATAATTTCAAATGAAGGAGGCAAATGGTCAATTTTATATACATGTTTCAACTTTAAAACTTTATATGATAAATCAAATAAAAAGTATATTTATGATGAAGAAATTTTTTTCCAAAAGATTATCAGAAATTCTATGGCGCCCATACGGGCGACATAAGTCATGCCACAATATGATGTGTCATGAGGTGACCCTTTTAATTATAACAATATATTTCAACACGGCACATATTAAAAAAGATTTTCTACCTCAAAAATAATTAAGTTGCCGTTTCCCACTAGGATGTTTTTGGCCGCGCGTCGCGACGCGGCAAATTTAAATTTATAATTTTTCCTCAACTAACCTCTACTAACTAGTAGTAGCGGCGAGTAAGGGTCGATCCCACGAGGAGCAGGAATTAATTGTGATTATTCTCGTATTAATTGAATTAAACTAGGAAAGCAATAAAAGATGGGGGGATTGGTTTTATAATAATAAAAATAAGAAAATAAAATAAAAATCTAATAAAGTAAGAGAAGTCCAGTTTTCGGTTCAGTTATCACCCAATCTCAATCTACCGTTAATTAATTTCGACGCTTTGTTTAAATTGCTAATGAATTACCGACCCTAGCTAACAACAAGCTCTGTTAACCGAATTTTCCCTTACCGAATATTTAATCGAAATAGGCTCTTCGACTAAACCTAACTAGCGGACAACCTAGAATAAGCTCTCTAGATTTAATACACTAGCAGCACTAATTTCTAGGAAAATAGATCAGTCTAAGCAATGGACGCAAAAGATCGAACCATTTAACTTATGCTCACGCTACCCTAAGGATGCACGACCCCTAGTTTACTACTAACGAAACGAGACAATAACAATTACGGATTAAAGTCTTGAACTAGCAATTAAACTATGAATATTCAACCTAGCTGGCCAAACTAAATCAAACACCATAATTTATAAACATTAAATATAGATAACATGAATCAACTCATCAACAAAAATAAATACGACGTCTCAATTAACCAACGATAAAAAATAGATCATTCAATTCATAGACAAACTGAAATTAGGGTTCAAACATCCCCTCAAACTGGATAAAAATACTAGTCTAACATACTAATAAAAATAAATAATAAATAATAAAAGAGAGAAGATAAAAATATCTCCCTCGTGTGCGGGTGCGGCTTCCCTCCGCGCATGTAGCCTTCTTTCTTCAAGTGACGTCTTCTCCGTGCTCTGTATCTTTTCTTCTCGGATCGCCCCTTCGGCTTTTGCGTGTGTCACGTCAAATAAAAAATCCTCTCAAATATATGAGTCCTTAGCCAAATAATGTCTGCGTGGCGTGTATTTTTGCTCCCAGCCAAATTACGTCCTCAACAAACAAAATTAAGAATTGTGTTTAAATTAAACACTTCTTTCCCACTTTCCATGTGCTGCTACTTTCTTTTTCTTTTTTTTTTTTGTACTTGCTGCTAATAGAATTAACGGGATCTACTCGATCCGGCACCCGGGCACTCTGATAAATGCTACTTGAACTCTCGTCAACAGATTCATCATCCACAAAATACTCTAATATACTGAAAATAAACATAAAAATATCAATGTATACGAATCTGTCCAAATAATAAATAAGTCGATAAATACAAACGTGCGATTAAATTAAGTATATAAAAATACACTATTAAATATATAAAACGTGCACATTTTTCGACCTATCAGTTTTCCCTAAATCCACCTGCAACCTCACCCACGACCATCTTCAATAGACCTCCGTCGACAAGAGCAATTGCTCTGGTCAATAAACGCTTGGAAGTGTGTCGTCACCTCATATTCCTCTCTCCTGATAGCCCTTATCTTTCAGGGACTACACAATGCGTATAATCTGCTACTTGAGTACGCTGTCGGTGGAACCCTAGCCAGCCGAATTGATATTTTGGCAGCCTAGGGCTGTCAAAAATTAAGGTGAAGATGCACGAAATAATAATAATAATAATAATAATAATAATAATAATAATAATAATAATAATAATATAGAACTATGATTAAATCAAAGTAAATTCGTTTTTAATCTAAAAAGATCTTTGATAAAAAAAATCAAAAAGTTAATAAATTTGAAGATAGCATTGTTGATATCCGAGTTCGGCCATTCAAGACTCACGGCTCGAAGATAAGGAACTGGGCCAAGACGACCCTAAAATCCAGATCGGCATTCGGGTTACCCCGAGTGGTCGAGGAACAAAACTGACGAGAATGATGAGTAGAATAATTCTCGAGAACGGCATTCTGAGTGACCAAGGGACGATGTCGATCTGCGTGAACGCCGGGCATAGAAACAGGACCTCGAGGACCAAAAGATGAAGTGACGACGAGAGTCCAACTTGAAGATTCGACAGGATCGACACCTACGTGCATTAGGACCAGGAAATAATAAAATACTGCCACTTGTCAAGTAATGATTGCCGATGGAACGCGCCACCCTATTCTGTCACCCTAGGGCATCTAGCTCGACAAGAAGTCTTTCAATAATAAATGTACAGATGTGGAGCATTTAATGCCTGACAGGTAATCCTTGGAAAAAACCTCAGACCTCATTTAATGCTTGTCAGAGCGGCGCCAACCTGTCACTCCAAATTACTGTACGACGAGACAGGATGAACAATACCTGAACTGTGCTAGATAGAGGCTACTATAAATAGAATTTCACCCTCATTTATTAAGGGTTGTTGATTTCTCCACCAACTATTTATCTCTTTACATTTACTCCTTCAATATTGTAATAAATTCCTTTAATTATTTCAACTGTAAGAAAAGTGTTGACCTCATCCTTGGAGGCTGACCTCGTGATTAAATAATAAAGGTCTATTTATCTCGTAAATTCCTATTCCTTCACTCATTTTATCACTTCATGATTTTTTATTAAACGTTGACCGATTTCGATCGTCAACAAGCATAATTATACAATTGCTTTATGAAATATCAACTCCTGTGGCTTAATTAAAAAATCAAAATAATTTAGTTTTAATATTTTTGTGTACAGAGGTAGAAGATTAAGATATTTTTTTATCAAAGTGTATCACAAGCCCCAAACCCCTGTGGCTTTAACTTTCTATGGTAGTCGGTATTGGCGGAGTAGACTGCCGCCGATGAGTGGAGTGGCAGATTGCCGCCGGATTGTTGCATATGTTTTCCTGGCCCAAGCGTGTGATTCTCTTTTTATTTATTTGTTTCACAATAATTGTTTTGTTATTAAGGAAACATCAAATATATGAACAGGGCAATAATCCTAATGGGAAACAACAACTTAATGGCATGATTGGTATGATGGAATGAAATTTCGTAGGAATGGAATGAATTGAATAATGAAATGATTATGGGAATGAAATGAAACATGTTTTGTCATTGATGCGTTTGGTATGCAGAAGGAATATGACTGGAATGGAATGACATTATCATTTTTTATTATAAAAATAAATAAAAGTTTTTTTTTAAAAATAATATACTTTTAATAAATTATATATAAATGTTTTTTTAATAATATATAAAAATAAAGTAATATATTTTTAATAATATATTTTGAATAATATATACAAATAGAATAATATATTGTTTAATAATATTAAAAATAATATATTTTTAATAATATATTTTGGATAATATATAAAAATAGAATAATATATTGTTTAATAATATAAAAAATAATATATTTTTAATAATATATAAAAATAAAATAATATATTTTTAAACTATATATAAAAAATAATATATTCTTAAAAGTAATATATTTTTAATATATAAAAAATAATATATTTTTAATAATATATATTTTATTTTTTAATTAAACAGTAAATAAAAGTAAGTTTTCAATTTTTTATTTGAATTTTATTTTTTAAAATAATATATTTTTAATAATATTTAAAAATAAAGTAATATATTTTTAATATTTTTCAATAATATATTTTTAAAATTAATATATTTTTAATATTTAAAAAATAATATATTTTTAATAATATATATAAATAAAATAATATATTTTTAAATTATATATAAATGTTTTTTTTAGTTTTATTTTTATATAAGTATTTAATATATCTAATTAAAAAATAAATAAAAGTAAGTTTTCAATTTTTTTATTTGAATTTTTGTTTAAAATAATTTTATTTAATATATTTTAATCATAATTTATAATATATATTATATATTTATTTTTTATTATTATTTGTTAATTTTATTTTTTGAAAAGTTGATTCCTACACACATAGGAATGAGAAAATCTTCCATTTACTATGTAATGGTTAATCCCATGGAGATGGGTTTTGCCATTACCATTGAAATGGTCATTCCTTCCCAAAAAATATACCAATCATGGAATTAAGAATGAGTAAGGGAATGATCATTCTATTCCCATGTCATTCTTTCCTACCAATCATGCTATAATTATTTTTGAAGTGGAAAATCTTGTTTAATATGTGCATGTTGGAATATATTATTATAATTAAAAAACTATCACATTGTATTGTGGCATAGAAAATCCTAATGGAAAATCTTGTTTAGTATGGGCGTTATAGAATTTTTGAAAAGATTATATGAAAACAATTTTGTTTTTTCTGGTAGGAGATGCTTTTGCCAAATATTGTTGGGACTCTAGCTTTTATAGTCCCCTTAGCCCCACGAAGCTATTGAGAGGAAGTGTATTTAAGGTCGCGTTTGCGTGTTCACTAAAAACTCAGATATTGCCTCATTGATTCCCTTTTTTACACACTGAGCCAGCCTTTTATTAATATACTAATCCAAACAAAGCACAAACGCCATTTGTATACCTCGACTTTCTCTCTCTCAGATTCAATCTATCGCCAGAAATTAACAATGGCCCTCTCGTTATTTTCACCATCTTCGTCCTGAAGCACACTCGAGCTTGTCACTTTCCAGGCTATTCGAACCGGAGCTAACAAGGGGAAAATCAAAGATCGGAGCTTGAATTATTGTGCATAACCGCACCAGCTCGTGCGCCACGCATTGGCGCGGATAGAATAGGTGGTGGTGAGTGCGTCGTGTGCAGGGGCGAAGGGTTTTTTTAATGGCGGCGTCATCGGCGGTGTGCTCATGGCTAATGGCCGCATGCATGTCCGTCGCCTGCGAGAACGATTCCGGCGCCTCCATGCTGTGCCCGAGGAGGGCGGCGTCGTTCGATCCTTCGCGCCTTGGCAGGTGGGCCGCCCGCCGCCGGAGGAGGGTTGTCGCGAAATGCGCTCCCCACCTGTGCGGCATCCGGGACCTCGTGAATTCCTGCCTCGCGTTCGAGCCCTGCGATGACTTCTACAGGTCCTCGCTCGCCGCCGATGGGTTCTTCGGGTTCGGATCGAGGAATGTTCCAGTGCACCGCAGGCGCGGGAAGCTCCTCCGACCGTTGGCCCATTCAGGTACGCTGCTCTTATTGTTTGTTTTTGCCGATTGCGTTCGCGTTCGATTTGGGGTCGAGTTTGGTTGTCGATTTATTATTATTATTATTATTTTTAATTACTGATTTTATTACTGACTTTTCCCGTAATTTTATCTGTGTTTGTAATTTATTATTACTGATTTGAGGTTTTCAAGAATGGGATTTGGTTCTCAGTGAATTTGTGTTTTTGATGGCACATTTATTACTGTAGGGGCCTGACAAAATCTATAGTTCAGCTTTAGTGTTGGATTAAAGGAGACTCGATGGTGGCTTTGTGCTGTAGTTTGTTTAGAGTTTATGCATGAATGTTTATCTATTATCATCTTCTGTGTGCTTGAGGTTAATTAAGGTACAGTTTTTGCATTAACTATATTCACAGTTGTGCTGCTACTTAAATACAAAATTTTCCACCTACTTTCCATTTTTTGTGCGGTAGGTGTGGTTGAGTTCAGTTAGGTTAGCCAATCTTAATGTCTGTTTATCCTTTTTTCCTTATTAACAAATGCTCTTTTGTTGAGCTACAGCAGTGTCGGATTAACAGGCGGTTCATCTTATCACGACCTATTTAGCTTTTATCCATTTTTAGTTATACTAAATTCTCCATCCACAAAGGGCTTCTTCTCTCTGTAGCTGATTTCTTTTTTCTTCCTCCATATTGATACTTGTATAATTAGTTGATTTGTAATTTTGACACGCGTAATGCACTGTGATGCATTAACCTAGTTTTCCCCTGAAATGTAGATGAATGGATTTTGAATTATCTTTTTCCCATGTGAACTAAAGGAGAAGCAATGGCAGTAGCTGTTAATCCAGCCATGGAAGTTACATCCAAGAAAAAGCCTCAAACAAAGCAAAGGAGAGTGGTTGTGACGGGTATGGGTGTGGAGACACCACTTGGTCATGATCCAGATGTCTTTTATAATAACCTGCTGGAAGGAATCAGTGGGATTAGTGAGATTGAGGCTTTCGATTGTTCGCAATTTCCAACTGTATGTATCGTTTGTCATACTCATCTCAGCTTTTTTTAAGTAATTATGAATTCACACTGTAAGGGTTTTGATCGCAGAGAATTGCTGGAGAGATCAAATCATTCTCCACAGATGGTTGGGTTGCTCCCAAACTTTCTAAGAGAATGGACAAATTCATGCTTTACATGTTGACAGCAGGCAAGAAGGCTTTGGCGGATGCAGGAATTACGGAGGATGTGATGGAAGAATTGAATAAAAAAAGATGTGGCGTGCTAATTGGCTCTGCTATGGGTGGGATGAAAGTAAGTTTAAATTATCCTCTGCACAATGATGGAAGAAGGTGGTGTAGATAAACTAATGTTAACTGAACAAAGTTTACTAGATGTTCCTGCCGTATTACTTTAGAGTTTTAACTTTTCAGCCTGTTTGTAAATACTTATCTATCTTTTTTTTATTTGGTTCTCACATTTTTTAAAACGGGTGCAACACGTGATGGTATCTTTGCTTTTGAACTTAAAATAGTTGGACCATTTTGCCCATTTTTACATTCGGACAGTCAAAATGAGATGCCGGGCCTCATAACATGATATAAAATGTCACGGAGTGTTGTTACTTCAGAGCTAGTTAGAGTCTCCCTCATACGACCCTAAATTTTTTAAATACAGAAGACCTCTAGTTAATAGTTCTTCAATCCTGAACATTAATTTATCTTGAGATACAGTTTATATCCCTCTCAGTTGATTAATTTATTTGAACAGGTTTTTAATGATGCAATTGAAGCATTACGGATCTCATATAGGAAGATGAATCCATTTTGTGTACCTTTTGCAACTACAAATATGGGTTCTGCAATTCTCGCCATGGATCTGGTTAATGAAATTCCTAGATTAAACTATTACTGGTTGATTGCTGCATAATTTATTGCCATCCTACTAAGCATTTTATTGCAGGGATGGATGGGACCAAACTACTCAATATCTACCGCATGCGCAACGAGCAATTTCTGTATACTGAATGCTGCTCACCACATTATTCGAGGTGAAGCAGTAAGTAACTTGCCTTCTTCCAGGATGTAGATTGAGTTCCTTTTTTTCTTCTGGTTTTTGTTCCATTTTCATTGGTGTATTAACTTTGAAAATGTTCGAATATATACCATCCTACGTTTATTGCCTTCTATGTACTGATGCTTGCCTTTTCAGGACATGATGCTTTGTGGTGGCTCTGATGCAGCAATTATTCCAATTGGTAACATTCTTTTTCTTGTTCATATATTTCAGTTCCTGTGCAGTATTTCCACATCAGAAACATTGTTGCAGGATTGGGAGGCTTTGTTGCTTGCAGAGCATTGTCACAGAGAAACAGCGATCCTACTAAAGCATCACGTCCCTGGGATAGTGTAATTTTCTGTTTTAGTTACATTCAACCGTGCAGTTATTTGTTGGGCTGAAATTTGATAATGATTAGTTATAATATTTCCTGATCAGAATTCGCTGCGTTATCGTCATTCACAATGCCCCATATTTGTAACGTTATTGTTGTGCTTCTAAGAAACTAGAGTACTCAGTTGAAACAAATATCTTCGTCCCCTGTGACGTGGTATACCGATAGCTGATTGTCTTCTCTCGAAATCTTTGCGCAAAAAACTTACGAACTTCCGCAACAGCCATGGAAAAATACTCAAATCTTCACCAGTCATGAGTATTCTCATAATTACATATTATGTGGGACGGATACTCTTTTGTTGCATGATTTACGATAATGATTATATTGAATGCTAAATGAAGTTCTTATCGTACAAAATCAAAACGATTGTGTAGTATCCATATTTATGTTCCTGGTGGTTTGCATATCTGGATGTTCTTTGTTAGACTATGCTATCCAAAGGATTCAAATGAACCAATAGCCTGAATGTTGAATTTTTATTTCAAGTATTATTTTCCATGTAACTGAATTTCCGACCTTTGACAGAATCGTGATGGATTTGTTATGGGAGAAGGGTCTGGAGTATTGCTCTTGGAGGAACTTGAACATGCTAAGGTATCACACTCTTACTGGTTCCAGATTCAATATTTTTATTTTTCGTAATGAACCAAATTTGATATCGTGTGTGGATAACCAGAATAGAGGTGCAACTATTTATGCTGAGTTTCTTGGTGGAAGCTTCACTTGTGATGCTTATCACATGACAGAGCCTCATCCACAAGGTATATGATTCCCTTTATCTCTAGCCTAGAGAGTACCGCAAGGCTAGATTGCTATAGTATGAGTAGTGTGGTTGTAGTTGTACGTGAATGAACTCAAGAACAGTCTCAATATGGAGCCTCAGAAGTCCAGAACTACTGTAACCTTATGGTCTAGAAATTATGTGCTCTTCAATACACTAGTACATTATTAATAATGGAACCCTTGCCTCTGGGATTTTGTTACAAAATTGGCCCTTCATTTGGAGCTCTAGCTCCAAATCTATTTAATAACTATAAATGTTTTGGTTTTGAACAATCCAAAGTTGATGATGAATAGTGATCAATTCGTTGGACATCAAATAAATGGATCGACTCTTCATGATTACTAGTTGACTCTTGACATTTATCATGGTTTGTGCACTTATTACTCATATTTGTTGAAGCTACCACCTCTCTAGCATTGAACAACAGATATGTATGTATTGTTGGCATGTGTGTCCACCTTTTGCTCCGTTTGAGGACTAAACCGGCAACTTTTGTCCGGTCAATTATATTACTTAATTGCAGTTTCACTTTTAGAATTTGCTTTTCTTTCAATTGTTTATAGCTTCATTTGAGTGTTTGTGACCAAGTTTAAGTTATCCCATATATACAAACCTGCAGTAATTTGAGACCCCCTATGTGCTGTCATTCTTTATACTCATTATTCGACAATCTTCAAGCAGGAACTGGCGTCATTCTGTGTGTAGAAAAGGCTTTAGCTCAGGCAGGGGTATCTAAGGAAGACGTGAACTATATAAATGCACATGCAACATCTACTCCAGCTGGTGATCTTAAGGAGTATCAGGCTCTTCTTCATTGTTTCGGGCAGAACCCAGAGGTTTCTTCGCAAACTCAAGTTCTCGTTTATACCATGCGTATTTTGAGTCATTACAAAGGGATCTGTTGAAAACCCTGCCATTTGCAGATAAGGGTGAACTCAACAAAATCTATGATTGGGCACCTACTTGGCGCAGCTGGTGCTGTGGAGGCTGTTGCAACTGTCCAGGTGCTTACGTATTTAATTTGTTAGTGGTCATTGAGATAGTTTCGCATGCCTACTTTGGTTTCAGTAAGCTTATAAAGCTGATCAAACATCTTATATATTACTGATATTGAGTGCTTGTAATTGGTCTAAAAGTATCTTGGTAATTGGTAGAAATGCTCCTAATGCTCTATAAATATGCTAACGGAATTTAGTTTTGCGCAAGTTATCTAGCTAAAGATCTATTTGCGGGAAACTTATTTTATGTTTAAATAGCTCTACAAACGAGGTCTTGTATTACTTTGTTTCGCTTTAGTGCTTTAATTTTTAATATGCTTGTATTCTCCTTGGGTTGAATAAAACTGAACCTAAAGTGACCAGATTCTCCTATGTAAACCTATTTTCTTTTGAAGTATGATATTTTATGGTGCTTGAACTTGCATACATTACATGATTACATCACACAACGCTACCCATGAAAAAGATCAATCTGAAATTATTTATCCGTTTCCAGTATTGGACCTATTATATTTACTGCTCTCAACTTCAAGGTGCTCTTCATTAAAACCTCCATAACGCAGATCTATTAAGTTCTATGGTACTGTTGTTTCCTGCCTAATTATTCTTGCTTGAAGTTGAGACACAAAGTTGGTGTTCATAATTTTTATGAGAGCTTTGATAATATGAAGTGTTAGTGCAGAGCACTTAAACCCGTGATCCAGAAATAGAGAAGCTGAAAACTGATTAAGAATTCTTGTTGTGACTAACTAAATGAATATTCCTAAACTGGACTTTTATATTCTTGTAGGCTATAAGGACTGGCTGGGTTCATCCAAACGTCAATCTTGAAAATCCAGATGATGGTGTGGTACGTTATTACCTAATTCCACTCAGTCATCTTTTACGCACAGTAAAAAAAACCTGTCTGTTAATATATAGCATGCTTATGGGTGAGGATATGGTCATTAATTGCTTAGGAAAGAGAATTGGTTAAAATGTCTTATTAAATTTGGTTCAAGCATGTGTTTGCTAGATGAGTTCCAGGATTTTTTTTGATTTTTTATACATTGAGAATTTTATGTTTACTGTTTCGTGGTTACATGTCGAGAGCAGTATTTGCAATTATATCATTTTTGCTCCAAAGATGCACGATTGTTTAGTGATGAGATCACGTTTGATTCAGGATTCGTCTGTGCTGGTGGGACCAACGAAAGAAAAGCTGGACATCAAGGTGGCATTGTCTAATTCATTTGGTTTTGGTGGCCACAACTCGTCAATTTTATTTGCCCCGTTCAAGTAGATTTTTACGGGGTTTCGAATTGGAAGAATGTGTTCAAAAACTGAGAAAATTGAAAGGCGGTAACTGAAAAGGACAATCAGTGTTCAAAAACTGAGAAAATCATTTTGTTAGTTAGTATCTTGAGGAGATCAATGTATATTTGTACTGGAAACGCGCGAGCAACATACTCTTTTTGTCAGTTGGCCGAGAAAAGAAAACGTTTTCGGGGTTAGTTCGACTTTTAGCTGCCCTTTCGCATTATTGGAAGTGTATTCGTGTCGAATGGGATGAAACTGCTCGGGCCAAATGTAGAGAGGTGCTCTTGATTTGAATAGCAAATGGATACTTTTTTACTCTTGTGATATGATCTCTTTTTGTAAACAATGGCACTTGCCTTTTGACCCGAATTAGCTGGTTTTGAAAATTACTAGTGAAAATAATATGATGATTCTTAATGTGATGAAACAGAAAAGCCATATAATTCTTGATCGATGGTCGTCCATTCCTCCATTCGAAACAAGTCTTTGACCGTTTTTGTTAGACGATTTGATCATTAGGTTGGTCGATCTTTTATATATTTTAAACAAAGATTCCATTCGAAACACAAGTCTTCGACTGTTTTTGTTATAGAGTCTGATCATTAGGTTGGTCGATGTTTCATATATATATTTTTAAAAAAGTTTATATTTATACCATCAAATATATATTATTTTATAAATTGTGATATTTTTTGATAAAATTATGCATATTTATGAAAAAAAAATGTCGATATAGATTAGGCCGGCGTATTTTTTTACGGAAATTTTGTCATCGACAGAGCATCTATTATTATCTTTATTTAATTTTTGTATGAATGCCCTGTAAATATTATGTAATAATTACTATTTTTTTTCTTATAAATGTCATTTTGGTTTTATCAACAATTAATTAAATAAATGACGTTTTTGATTTTTTGTATATATTTTTTTATTATTACTCTTATCTAGCTAATGAATACACTATGTCTTTTCATATTCACTCTTCATCTTTTATCAAAACATTCATCTCTATCCTTATTAATGAGGGTTATTATTGACAAAAACAATATTATTAATTACTGTGTAATTTCTCAAAATGATATTTATTAAAAAAAATAGAGAGTATATATGTTATGCAACAATTAATGGTAGAGTAGCTTTATTCATTGTGGTGGATTATATATATGGACATGAAATTTTTAGCACGGATGAAAAAAAAAAAGGAAAAAAGTCCTCACAGACAGGATTAATGTATTATACATGTCTGAGCCCGGGTTCGAACCGGGGACCTCTAGTGTGTGAGACTAGCGTGATAACCGACTACACCACCCAGACAAATTTCATTTACATATAAATTCGACATATTTCATTTAAATCAATCTTTTGCACCCTTCCAAGTCCTACATTTTCTAAAAACCCTATAGCTAAACCCTAATAAAATAATTCCTCAAAATCCCCCAATTTCTCTTCCTCCCTCACCAAACGATTCAAGCGACCTCACCAAACGATTCAAGCGAAAATGGACGAATTGCAGAAAGCGTACCGCAGCGCCGTATCGCAGGCGCAGGAAACGACTGCAAAAATAAGTTCTTTAGCATCTTCATTAGAGAAGACCAACTCAGCTTCTCCGTCTCCTTCTTCTTCGTCTGGAATCGGGCCGCCGTCGTATTCGCTGTCCGCCGACCAGTCGCGACTGTTGCTGGCCCGGCCGCCGAGGTACGAAAACCCCCTTTTACTCTTTCTTTCTACTGCTTTTTTCATACCATGCGCCATCGCCTATGGTCAGTGGTCACTGTTTTTTTCCATGGAGTTATTTGAGTCAAACATAAATTCTTGTTTGAGGCGAACTAACCGTTGGTCCAGTCGACCCGTCATACTATTTTAACAAAAAATACATAGTTGTGCTATATAATGTCGAGCTTTAGCATATGTTGATTTGGAGGCTATGATATTTCGGTTTGAAATTATGTAGATTTGTTGAAAAAGAATGACTGTCCAACGAGCTTATTGTCCTTATTAATTTAGCTTTTTCAAAGCTGATTAAGAACAGCTTTTAGAGTTTTTTCTTTTTTTTTTAAAACAAAAAAAAAAAGAAAAACTTTGTCACTGCTGTTTTGATATTCTTATTCTACAGTTAAATGTTTATGGTACTTGACATTGAACACGTATGGAGTGCTTGGTGATATTTTCGTTCACTTGCATTTTGTAGCTTGGTAATTGATTATGCATATAATGGTAAAAGTTGATATTTATAATAATGTGAATAGCCAAATTGCTCGAGGATGGTCCATTTGATTTGGAAAGAAAATGAAAGATTGATAATCTGTTAATCATGTCAAATTGGCTCGAAATAACCTAAAACACTATATTCTTAATCTTTTATTCAGATTTCAAGTACTATTTTCTTTGCTGGATTTGTTTTCATCTCAATTAGGAACCAAAATTCCTGTCTTTTCTTTTTGGTGATTTTTCTTGACGATTTTTTAAGTTTAAGATGTAGGGTAAAATTAGAAAGCCTTAAAAGTTACGAGAGGCTCAGATCCTCTAAGAACACCGTTGGGAGATTAATTTTCTATTTGAATCATTACTATCATAATGTGACAGAATTTGTAAGTGCTGGGTTTGGGTTTTGCTCTAGCTGCTCTGAGTCTAATAATTTTTCCCTTGAATCAACACTGAATTGAAGGTTCATACTGCTTTGCTTGAATATGATCCAGGAGTTTCTTTCAATTATCTTTCATTGTTATTCAAACTGACTCTGAGAGGAGAAGTTTGATTATATACCATTGTTTTAAAAATCTAACCCGGAACATGAGAAAATAGGACACGTACACAGTGTTCTCAATCTGTTGTGTTCCGGTGAATCAAAAGCAGAGGGAAACATTTATAATAATAATAAAAAAAAAAAAAACTGAATATGCAAATTTTAATCTTTTTGGTGCAGAAACTTCGTATCGCTATGGACCTGCTCGAAGCTTTGCGCTGTTTTTTTCGTTGCTGGAATATTTGTTGGTTACACACTGAAGAAACGTGTACGTCGCTGGGCATCAAAACTTCTCAGGAGGTTGAAGGATGACTAAATTGTTCTATATGTGGATGCTATTGTTATTTTTGTTCAGGTACATGAAAACCTCGGAGGATGTTTTGAAAAATTTGAAGATATAAGTATTTCGGGTATTGCAACTGGTGATGATATATGCTGTTAATTAAAATTGTAGTCGAGAGTACGTATGTCAATGACACAGACATGATATATTTCGATGATTTGTCATCCGCTACCTTTTCTTCCATCCAATGAGAGAAACTCTGCATGCAGCTGCATCTACAAGTTCATACCTGTTCTTTTTCTCAATTTACATCCTTCCGAAAAGAAATTAACGATTTGGGCCATTTGACTGTGCTGCTAGTAAGAATATTTTATGCACTTACATTTGCTGAAATAAACGTATAGTTTTATCCTCCATGTGTGGTTAGCTCCTCATCGTTCTTGCTTCAGGAGTTTGTGAAATTTGAAACTTGTTGATGTCTTGTAAGGAAAATACCTGCGCATTGGCTGAGTTCCCTGTATGTTAGAGCAAAACACTTCCTAGGTCATGTCTTCTTATATTTTATTAGTATTCCATAATTTGGTCGTGTCTAGAAGATTCCAGATAAAATCAAGAATGTGGTAAAAAATCTCTTCTTTCACCTAAGCAAGGATGCTTCTATTTGCTGAGACTTCTCATTTTATGTGATTTTTTCTTATTGCTTGGTGTGTCACATGAATAGATTATGCTATTTGAGCTATTGTCCGATTGGCTGCTGTAAGTGTTCGAGTCCTAAATTACAAACGGCAAGTAAATTTCAGGTTCGACTGTATTTGCAATTATCTCAAAGTCTTTCCAAACGCGTACCATTTGATCTTCTTCTGGTTTTTCCGCTTTTGTATTGTTCAAGAGATCCTTTAGGGTACTAATGAAAGGTAATACATCCATAGGACGAGCAATTAAAAGGTATAACTGCAAAGGGTTTCATTTGTTGAGGCTACAGCAGGTTTTCTTTAGACAACTTCAATTCAATGTCGGTCAAAATTATCCTGTCTTGTTAACATTGCCACTTTGAAGTACAGAAACCCTACAAAATCCGAAAAAATGGACAAATTATAAGATAATGTACCAAGAGATTATGCCACATTTAGCCTGAAAAAATGCAGTTAGAAACATTACCTTCAAAATCTTCACCGCCTTCAAAATCTTCACTGCATAATGTTTCGAACATCTGACTTTGCCACATCCAATTATACGAGATGTTAGTGAAAATGTAAAGATGTGCTCACCATTCGATCGGAAACGAGATTTTATTCTATCAGAATCAAGATTTTAGATTCAAAGAGATAAATTATAGAAAAAAAAAAAAATAGAAAGCTGAAGCATTTGAAACTCACTGTCCCTTTTTACCTCTGCTCGAAAACGAGCAACTCATAGACTACAACCGGAAGGTGGTGAAAAAGTCCAATTGTGGCTAGTGTCCACAGTTAAAGTTGAGCCCCTTTGCCAACTGTCAAAACAGGGGACTTGATTTTGGTCGTTGTTGTTCGGCTGCTCGATTTATAGCTCCATCTTAAGCTCTCTGTAATGAATGGATTTTGGTATTTGATTTGGAGATTCTTGAATCAACCTTATCAATAAAAAGAATATAAAAAATGAAAATGTATATAATAAAAATATTGGAGAGGCACGGGGTTATCTTAAGCTCTCTGTAATGAATGGATTTTGGTATTTGATTTGGAGATTCTTGAATCAACCTTATCAATAAAAAGAATATAAAAAATGAAAATGTATATAATAAAAATATTGGAGATGCGGGGGATCGAACCCCGTGCCTCTCGCATGCAAAATAAGCGCTCTACCATTTGAGCTATATCCCCGTTGAATGCATGGGTCACTTTATATTTTATTGTACGTTTATTCCCACAAAACTGCAAAAATAGATCATTCAATACGTGTCATGTCTTCTTTAGCCGAATTTTCACGTTTTTGTTTACATAAACAAAATTGAAATTAAATTTGAAAAACAACAAAAGTTTTATCAATATTATTATTTGAATTTAAATGTTAGAAACTAATGGATATCCGTCGACAAATAAGAGAACATTTATTAGACAAAATGTGTAGGTAGGTTGAGTGTAAATTTTATTCAAGTGGGCTGAATGAAATTTTTAGTATATATCGAAAATATTACGACTTTTTAATGACTCTAATCACTACAAAAAAATTGTTATATTTCAACGAAAAATTCTATTCTAACGAAAAATTCTATTATAATATATTTTAATGGAAGTTCCAACGGATATTCCAATTGTATATCTTCCGTTAAATGATTTCAACAGAAATTCTAACGAAAATATTCCGTTGGAATGAGTTTTCCATTGAAATTTTAGATAGAATTTGATGATTTCAACGGCTATATTTTCAACGTTTTTTACGGTAGTAATTTTCGTTGGAATGAACAATTTCCGTTAGAATTTTTATTTCTTTTCTCGTTGGAAAATCTACCGTTAAAATCATCAATATCCAACGGAAATTTCAATGAAAATCTACTCATTCCAACGAAGTATTTTTGTTAGAATTTCCGTTAAAATCAATTGAAAAATTCCAACAGAAATAATAGTATTGAAATATCTATTGAAATTGCCGCTGGAATTCCATTAAAATATATTTTAGTTGACATTTTTTATTGAAATTTCATTATTTTGTTGACTTACAAATAATATAACATTAATTAAATGTTAAAGATTGCATCACATGGCCACGCCTGCAGAAAGTCGCAATCGCAAAATATCTCATATTACAAATCATATAAAATAAATTAAATAGCACGCATAAAATTTTTATTCATAAATTACTATAATGTAATCTCGTACTTGTTGACCACCTTTGATCTCAATTTTCATTATCTAATATTTGACACCCATAGCCATAAATATATGAAATTACACAACTACCCATGGGATAAAAAAAATGTTCGATAAGACTGTTATACAAACCCTACACTTAGATAGTCATACTTTTCATGACAAATGTATATTTTCATATACAAGTGACATGTTTCAAAAATACATATATAAATAAAAATATGAAATTTATTAATATAAATATGTATTTTTATTCAAAAAAGTATGACTGACGGATCGACTCGCCTAACCGATTAGGTTACCTTACCAAAAAAAATTGTGAAAAATATTTTAGTATATGCGTTGAAAAAAAAAATAGTTGATCTCATTCACTTTTTTTATTAGCAATCCAACTAAGGCGAGTTAAAAATAAAAATTAAACATTATTGTATATCCTCCTAAACAGTAATATTAATCAATTACATTCGAAAAATCTTATTATTATATTTCTCTCTATATTTCTTAATAGTATCAAAATGATCTCTTAAAAAAAAGAATCATCTCTCTATTGTGAATTGTCTAATGAGGCAAAGTTATTTAAAATTGCTCATTTTTGCATCTTAAACTAGGCCCGTGAAATTAGGGGAGGCCATAGATAAAACATATAAATTAAACCAATAAATTTTTATTTTTGAATTTCTCTTTTTAATCTATTTTTTTTTTGTCCTTTAAGAAAATAAAATAAAACCATCAATAAAATAGTTAAATAATTCCTCCCATATTTAGCTGATTAGCTCCCAATCTTTTTTCTCTCTTCATTGTGCCCATTACTCGTAATGCCCATCCAACTTCTGATCGTCCCCGCCTGCTGACCACCGCCTCCGCCGCCGTGTCTCCGCCGCCACGACCCGGTCTGTATGTGTGTGTGCGTTTGTGTGTTTAATTAGCCTTTTCTTTTCGCCGTTAGGTCGATTCGCCATTTTTACGTATCGGCTGTTGCTTGCATGCCCTGTTTTTTATTGTTTATTTAACGATTTACGGCATTAATTCGATAATGTTTGTTCCTATTTTCATCTGAGATTCGATAATTTAATCGTCGATTTGTTTTGCCGGGCTTGAATGAACATGAATCTCCGTCTTTCTGTGTTTCTGAGCTGAAATTGGGGATTTATTAGCTTTGCAATTCGTGTGTGGCGAGGTGTAAGGTGAATCTCGATTCGGATTTGTTTCCAGATTTTTCCGTTGGGAAAATGATAGCAAATGTGTGATAATTTGTTCATTTGTGTTATTACATTGTGATCTCCCATGTACATTCATATCTTGTTTGATCTAGTTTCATGCTTAGCATTTTCAGATTTTTCATGGTTTAACTGTTTATTATTCCAATTGGGAGGATGTAAATGCAGCATATCTTCACATTTGGTATTATTTTGTATCTTGTGCATTTGCTGCTTGTTAACCGATAAGATCGAATCAAATATTTGGGGGAATGTATGGATTGGGTTTATGTAGCATTTGTATAATTGTTGCGTAATATTTTCTAGAATGGAAAAGGATAAAAGATGATTTGTTCTGTCCTGATTCTGGTAATTGCTGATTATTATATGTTTAATGTATATTATTTACTTTGTCTAAAACAAACTGCCATGTGATGACCACATGGAATTATTGTCAAAGGAAATCAGAATATTGAACTGAAAAGCATTCTTGAGTTGTTCCAACCTTGTGAAGTAATCATTCTGCTGTCAAAGGAAATCAGATTTCTGAAGTGAAAGCATTCTTTATTTCTGTGCTTGCACCGACCGAGTGTTTATAGACCTTCTTGTGCCTTAACCACAAAAACTGGCTCTGTTTTCTTCCTCTCCTTCTTACTTGTTGTAGAAATTAATTGTTGAGACAATGTGTTTTATCTATAAAATTGCAGTGGAGCATGATAATCTGATGAGACGTGCGCAACGTGAACCCAAAGCCTGAAAATAAAATAGACACCCAAAAGTTTACCAAAATCATTCGTGTCTCGCCAAAAGGGTGAAAAAAAAATGGATGACAATGGAGGAAGCAAGGTGACGGGCATCAGACAAATTGTCAAGTTCAAGGAGTTCCTCCAGAAATGGCAGCATGTGACTCTGGGCCCGAAGCCCGGGGAAAGCCCGAAAACAAGCGAGGTCTGTGGAGGCATCTCGCCCGAGATCAGCTGGAGGCTTAGGGGCTCAAACGCTCACTGTGACTCGGATGAGGACAGCTGTCAGAGCCTGGAGATGCCGAACGACGTCCCAAAAGGGTACCTGGCAGTGTATGTGGGTCCCGAGCTCCGGAGGTTCATTATACCCACAAGCTACCTCAGTGACCCGCTTTTCAAGGTGCTGCTCGAGAAGGTCGAGGAGGAGTTTGGGTTCGATCACAGTGGCGGACTCACGATCCCTTGTGATACCGAGACCTTTAAGTTTCTCGTGCAATGCATGGAGAATCACAGGAAAGAACAAGCCGATCATAACAATGCAGGTACGAAATGATTCAATTCTATTATTTTCTTTGATTTTTTTTTTTTTTTTTCTTCTTAATTAACAA